TAGAGGGTCCACAACCTTGATATTTGATATACCAGATGTTTACACTATTTGCCTAGAGGGGCAGCCATTTTGTCTGGCAGTTTTTGTTTGTGTTTCACAAAATTCAAACTCAACCAACATTACGGTGTAACAGTGATATATCCAAACGTTTTTTTTTAAATCGGATAAAAATTGTGACCTCTATAGGGTCCACAGGCTAAATAAGCGATTTTTCGTACAATCAGTGGCCATAATTCAGGAATAAAAATAAAATAAAACCAAGTACGAACAATCCAAACCATAAGACAGAATTCAAAGTCCTAAAAAACGTTATAGGCAAAATTATGGTCCGATATGTGAGAATATCGAAAGGAACCAAGATCTGTGAGTTATAAACATACATTTCAAGTTTAAACCAAATCGGATAAAACTTGTGACCTCTACATAGGCAGTGATTTAGCCCTGAAAATCGTTTCATCTCGTCCCAGCAAATTCCGGGTGAAAATCTGTGGCTTTGTTACATAACTTAAGAAGTAGGCCGTCACTTTCGCATACATTTCTGTTCCGATGCATTGCACAATACGTCTTGAACTCGAATTACGTCTCGAACTATATTTGTCAAGTGTAGCCATAATCGGGTGAAAAAATCAAATTCTAAGCCAATCAGAAACCATAAAAGCAAAGATCGTCATAGGTCAAGGGTCAATAGCCATAAATAGACCAGAGAATACCTTTTATGAGACGGAACACGTTGGATTGTTTACATTTGTCAGAGAGAATTTCTCTGCAAATATGCCGGGATTACTGGATAATAGCACCTGTTAAATGTTGCATTGACACGGTAAAGACGACTTACCCCTGTGGCATAAAAATGGCCAATAATGGGGAAATAGCACCAATGATTGAATGAATCTTGTGTTTTCTGGAAACAAGTATTTCTTCAAAACTATTTCAGTGAAACAATATCCAAGAGAAATATATACTTAATACAGATGAAAACGATTTTGGCATGCTTGAAATACTGGTTCGGTCTTATAATTATACATAATGTTAAGAAAAAACAAAAATAATAATACCATGTGATCTGATCGATACAATTAATAATAATTTACCTTCATCAATTTTACTATTTTTTTTAAAAAAGAAAACAATTTAACGTCCACTTTCGCCAAGTGTGATATCGTAGACAAACTTACATCTCTTGGACAGTTCCTATCGCGTTAACAAGGTTTTCAAAGAATGGAGAGTAACTTCGGAACGGAAGATTGCTAAGTGCTCAATATCAATCGGGTTCATAACCCCAGTGCTTCACACGAAATTTAAAAAGTGAAGCCCTATAACGTTAACAAGGCTTTCAGGGAGAGGGGAGGGGGTATACTAAGGAACAGAAGGTCACAGAATGCTGTTTAATATCGATAGGGTTTATCCTCCCATCGTCCCATATTTGAAAAAAAATACAGACAAAGAGGGTAATTCTGGAACAGAAATATGCAGAGTATTGGAAATCGAAAGGCCTCAGTGCTTCACATCACATTTGAAAAACAAAATCAATTAAAAACTGTAGTCTCTAATGCGTTAACAGGGTTTTCAGAAAACGGGGGGGGGGGGGGGGAATAACTCCAGAACGACAAGGTGAGTTAAACATCGATAGGGGCCGTCTTCTCATGGCCCCAATGCTTCACACCAAATCTGAAACAAATCTGTTAAAAACTGTAGGCTCTATTGGTTTATTTTAAGGTTTTCGGGAAAGGGGGGTAAACTCTGAAATGACAGGTTGTGACAATATGTTAAAAACTACGCGCACATATAATAATACTCAAGAAAATTATCACAGGATCACAGGGTCTCATAAGCAGAGGAACCCTATTTATTTTCGGCGCTCCGTGGGATTTATCCTTGTAATTCAAACCTTCAAACGCGGTAGGATTTTTATTTTCAAATTTGATGAAACCTCTTGATTTTGATCATATTTCAAATTTAATGTTATACATAGGGACCATAACAGTATGAATGAACCGTTTTGATTGTCTGTTTATTCGTTTATTAGTTAGCAGTTTTCCTTTGTAACAAATGCATGAGTATTTTTTTAGGTATTTTTTTTTATCAAATTCTGTGCGAAGAATTGGGCCAATGCATGGTTGTTTCACAACATGGAGACACTATCATATAGGTTTCATATCAACACGGGATCTCAAGAAAATTTACATAGAAATGTCAATATCTTGAGAACATTAACTCAAATTCTTGAGATCATTAACTCAGGATGGAACTATCTCAGAAAAATTATCAAGGTATCTTGAGAACATTAAATTTTGATCTCGAGAACATTAAATTGAGATCTTGAGAAAATTACCAGGGATTTCGAGAAAGTATCACAGGACTGCAGCATCTCGAGATCTACAAAATTTTGCATGACCTCTTTACTTTCGTAAGTATCTTAACAACCAAGTTATATAAATTACACTAAAATTTCATATTGAGCAGAATGTATTTATTTTATAAAAAAGAATGCACATTGTCTTGTTCATTACAATTTAGTTTAGGCTATATTTGTACTGTATTGTATGGTGTCTGGACAGTTATTGTCAAATGCAGTATTTTTTTTTAATTAATTCCCATCTGTCTGAGCAGGTTTTGTTTGAATATCATTGTAACCAGCAGCTGCCAGGCAGGATACGCCCACATTTTCGAGAGATGGATAAAGAACAAGCTAATTCAGGAAGTTACGGTCCGATATGCGCGAATATCAAAAGGAACCGAGATCTTTGGGTTATAAACTTACATTTCAAGTTTCAACAAAATCGGATAAAAAATTGTGACCTCTTTAAGGGTCCACAACCTTGAAATACCATATTTTTACACTATTTGAGAACAAGGGCGGCCATTTTGTCTGCCAGTTTTGGGCCGATTTTCACGAAATTCGAACTCAGCCGACCTTAGGGTGTAACGGTGATATAAAAATACGGTTTTTTTAATCAGATAAAAATTATGAACTCTATAGGGTCCACAAGCTAAAAACGCAATTTTTCTTACAATCAGGGGCCATAATTCAGGAAGTTAAAGTCCGATATGCGCAAATATCGAAAGGAACCGAGATCTTTGGGCCGATTTTCACGAAAATTCGAACTCAGCCGTCCTTAGGGTGTAACGGTGATATAATAATACGTTTTTTTAAATCAGATAAAAATTATGACCTCTATAGGGTCCACAAGCTAAAAATGCAATCAGGGGCCATAATTCAGGAAGTTACGGTCCGATATCATGAATCTCGAAAGAAACCGAGATCTTTGAGTTATAAACTTACATTTCAAGTTTCAACAAAATCAGATAAAAATTGTGACCTCTATAGGGTCCACAACCTTGATATACCATATTTTTACGCTATTTGAGAACGAACGGCGGCCATTTTGTCTGTCAGCCATCCTTTGGGTTTAACGGTGATATAATAATACGGTTTTTTAAATCAGATAAAAATTATGACCTCTATAGGGTCCACAAGCTAAAAACGCGATTTTTCGTACAATCAGGGGCCATAATTCCGGAAGTTACGTTCCGATATGCGCGAACACGAAAGGAACCGAGATCTTTGGGTTTTAATCATACATTTCAAGTTTAAACTAAATCGGATACAAATTGTGACCTCTACAGTGTTCACAAGCTAAAAACGTGATTTTTGGTACAATCAGGGGCCATAATCCATGAAGTTACAGTCCAATACATGCCAATATCGAAAGGAACCGATATCTTAGGGTGATAAACCTATATTTCAAGTTTCGTTGAAATGGGTTAAAAATTGTGACCTGTAGACTGTTCACAAACAATTGTGGACGGACAGACGTACAGACGGACAGGGGCAATGACAATATACATCCACATGAAAATGTGGGCGTATAAAAATGGGGTGTTCTCACTTTCCCAGCAGCTATTGTTTTCCAGGTAAAATCATTGGACCAGTACTAATTAGGGTAACAATGGTGTTAAAACTATAGTCTTTTTCATATCAATATTAACCACTTTACATAAAAGTTATTTTATTAACAAATTTAGCGTGTACATATATATTTTTCATATCAATATTAACTACTTTACATACAAGTTATTTTATTAACAAATTTAGTATTGTACATGTATATTTAAAATCCGACTTAATGTGATATCGAATTTCCATATTCATATAAAGTCGTCAAACCAGTTCATAATCTTTGTTTTTCATCATGTATTCTTCTGTTTAATTCTATGTATTTTCTTTTCTTTGGACTGCAACGCCTCCATTTCCATATGGTAAAATTTGTATCTCTGTGTAACCCTGTCTGACGTAGTTCTATGAATCTCAAAATATTCGGGTGGTTTGACGATACTTTCTTTAACTTTGAATGCCAACTTTCAACATATTTTTTGGTTGTTCTTGCACCTTCAGTGTAGAAATGGTTCCATAAACTTATATCTACACCTTCGACCCTTTGACATATGAACGAAAAATCAGACAGTGATTTATAGTTCATACATGTCATAGGTTAAATTGAACTGTTTCGTGCAATAATTAAAACAGAGTATAACTCACTAATCTATAACTAATCCCTTATCCGCTTAATTAGTAGGGTTAATCTGCTGGGAAAGTGAGAACAAACCATAAAAATGTCTAAATGTTCATACACAATAGGTGAAATCAAATTTGATAGAGAAATAGAGAATGATTGTTTCACTGAACATCATGCTCCTCATTTAACATTTAGTGCCATACGCTTCTTCTCTTTAATTATCATATTTTTTGACAAATTTAATTGGATATTCTATATATTTCTTTAAATGTCATAGCAATTAGAAAGTGTCTTAAATAACCTAGGTTAATTGACAATGTTATTATAACATGACAGAACAATTAGCATGTCACAGATGTTGAAATACAGGTCTTGGAAACCATTCAAGGTATCTTCTGAAAGCTGTCATTTGGTTTAAGATAGTGATAAATAAGTCAGTAGTTTGTATTAGACATGTTAAATTCTTTTATTTCTATATTTTAGGAGGATGTGATGAGAATAATAAACCACAGGATGTGTTAAAATGTGATCCAGTATGTACAAAACATGCTGATTGTATAGATACAAATGTATGTCAGTGTTTTATTCATTTTAAACCAGTTTATATTAATGGAATTATAACAGATTGTGTAATGGAGGCTAATGATACAGATATTATAGAAACAACTACATTAACATTACCAGGTAAATACACAATGATAAGCTATATTATACTGTATTAAGCTGTTAAAAATTTGCAGTGGCTCAAAGTCCTCGTTTTTTACTCTTTGAAATGTCATATTAGGCATTTTTGATGCATTATATTTTATTACACACAGAATTTAGAAACAATCAAAGAAGTTAATATAAAACCTGGTGATAGAACGTCAAATTTTCATAATATTGTAACAATTTCTTTTGATTTTCGGGCTCATCAAAAGTCCAATAGTGTTTATTTGCTCACATTTACATGTTAAAAGTTAACTTTATTGAATTTTTAACAGGTATTTTGCAGACTCTGCAGAGGCACAATTTTTGTCCAATTCTGATGAAACTTAACATATATTAATTATGTTCAGGATCAAAAGATCTTGAATGAGTTCGATTTTGGTGTACATCGGACCCTCTGATCCAAGTTATGCCTCCTTTTCCAAAAACCTTGAAATGCGATAAAGGTTATATTTTTTAACAGATTTTTTCCAAATTTGGTTTGAAACATTGGGATCTTAAGGGGGTGATCTTTACTGATAATCAGTGTTCCTCGACCTTTTGTTATGGCCCATTATAGCCGAAAAATCGTGTGAATGCAATAGTGGCCACAGTTTTTAACCACACTTTTTCAGATTTGGTGTGAAGGCATTGGATTCCCGACAGAACGAACTCTCCATTCTGGAGTTACCCTTCTTTGCCGAAAAAGTTCTGAACAGATTTATTTCAAATTTGGTCTGCAGTATCGGGGTCATGAGAGGATAAACCCTATCGATAGTTAGCGAGATATTCTGTACTGAAGTTACCCCCCTTTTCCGAAATATACTAAACAGCAAAAAAAGCGTCAGTACGATTTCACAATCAGAAAGGCATTTTAATCTAATCATTCTAGAAAATGACTTACTAAATGGATTAAAGCAATTTTTTGTGAACAGTATTGTAACACATTAGTAATTAATTCATCACAATTCCAAGACATTATGTAACCAGAAGAAACACCAATAGTATCTTATTATTTTATTAAGAATCTACAGAGATAACAATCTCCTAAGTAAGGGAACACAGAAGCAACACCAACTACGGTACCAACCATTCAATGGAACCCTTCGAGGTTGAAATATGGCGTACCACCCTCGAGCTCTTCAGACCCACTGAATACTAATTAGTTGAGCTTCCCTACTGACAAATGTTCATTGGATAAACTGGTCACATGACACCGTATAGTTCACAATGCGCGTAATTTAAATTGACATAATTATAATATAACATAAATTTAAATGGACATAATTATAATATAACATACATGTTAACCTGACTAAGTCGTAAAATAACTTTCCTAAATAATTGACTATCCAAAATATATTACACGTACATAATTAAATCTGAGGGAGTTTAACAATTACTATGGAAGCAGATTGCTATCTTGGTCTATGGACACACGAATTGGAAACAATGTATCTATTGACAGGTTACACATGGCGCTGCGAGCAGGTCATAGATGTCCTCATCAATGCTCGATATAAGATCCCAACCACTAGCTTAATACACAACTCATGTCAACTTCTAAAATCATGTTTTTATATTTTCGCACAACTTAATCTAAAAATATAACAATTAACAAAACCATACAGTTAACTTCTACAATCATTTTTTTCTTTTTTCTATACAAATTTAATCTTAAAATATCTCATTTTTACAAATTTATACAGTCGTTTCTTTATGAACATGAACACTATGCTGTATAACAGATTGGGGCAGTTTATGGGGGTTAGGGTGTTTGCCCGCCGTAGCTCTTGAAGAGTGCCTTACCGTTGTTATCTCAGAAGAGTGGTCTAACTCGGCGAAATTAGAATTATCGGTTTCTGAAGGCACATCACTTACTATTTCACTATGCACATCCTTATCACTATTCACATCTAGCAAAGGCATTTCTATAATTTCCCAACTATCTTCATCAGACGATTTTCCCACTATAATCGGCTAGTTTTACAGAATAAACATTGTTGCTAAATCTATCAACGATCACATATGGCGTGGGGTCCCATTCATCCTGTATTTTATTACGCCCACTGGGGGATGACTTTTCAATAGTACTATGGTTCCGTTATCTATCGGTGCTTCTCTTGTATTGCGATTGTATATTTCTTGTCGCTTATCGGCTTTCTGTTTTAAAATAACTTTGGAGCGTTCGATTGCCCCGGCTCGTTTCTTTTGATGATCAGCGACCCACTCAGTAACGCAACCACTGACAGATAAATGTTCGTCCTCTCTCAGTTTAAATATAGCATCTATTGGTAAGGTGGGTTCCCGTCCAAATAGTAAATAGTAGGGAGAATGGCCTGTTGACGCATGGGGAGTGATTTTATACATATAAACAAGTTCTTGTAAGTAATCCGGCCAATGCAATTTCTTCTCCGGTGACAGTGATTTCAACAGATTATGCATAGTCCTGTTGAACCGTTCGCATTGTCCATTGCCTTGTATGGAAGCCTATAACTACCATTCATAATTTCTACTTTTCGCCTCTTCAGAACACGAAAGTCGAAAAGTAGAAGTTACGACAAAATGTGAGGCGACAAGACGCTATACAAGCCAAAATCAACTCGAAAATAGGAAATTAAGAAATAACACACTGCGCTATAAGCGACCTATGATCTGTCGTACTGTCGACTTTTCGACTTTTCGACTTTTCGCCTAGAAAGTTATTGTAGTCTCTGTCTTCCAGGTCACATTTGAATACGCGCAATTCCCTTTAACAAAAATGTCTGTGTGATAGAGTCTAGTTGGTAAATGAAAATGCGTGCTGAGCGAGACCGCTGCTGAGCGAGGCCGTATGTCAGTCAATTTGATTGACAGTTCGATATACGGCCTTGATATTACTTTTAGTTGTGGTTAAAATGAGAGTTTGGATCTCCCTGCACCCGTTTCTTATGTTTATATCTTGTAAAAATTTTCTCCATTAATTTCAATACTTGAATGTTAATATAAATGATGAATATTATCTTATATCTAGTAGGCAAACCCATCACCCTATCTCACAGAGAATCTAAACAGGCTCGCTGTATCGTAGTTGCAAAAATGAGATGTTCGATCTTCCACTAAATCGTTAAATCCCCCCACCCACCCACCCACTCTCTCTCTGTCTCTCTCTGTCTCTCTCTCTCTCTCATTTTTATTTTATATATCTCAGAAATAGTAAATTCCATCGCACTGTACTACATATAGAACCCCCAATCGGCCTCGCAATGCAGTCAGTCTTTTTCTTTTCTTTAAAAGATTTGGGGGATATTTTTTCAATTGATTTTGATAAAATAATCATATTTCTTTCGAACGTTAAATACGTATATTAAGGACATTATACTATATTATATCCCAGAAACATGGAAATTTATCATCCAATATCGCGTATAGAGCCTAATCGGCCTCGCTATGCATGAAGTATACAATCGGACTCGCTTAGCAGTTGGACTTTTTCTTAATTTTGGAAGATTATAAAGTATTTCTATGAATTAAATTTCATAGCAAAATTATATTTAAGTGATTGTATTATATAAATTAAGAATAATATCACAGAAATAGCGGAATTCATCGCACTATACCATATAAAGTACACAATTGGCTTTGCTTAGCAGTGGGACTTTTTCTTATGTTTAAAAGATTTGGGGGATATTTTTTCAATTGATTTTGATAAAATAATCATATTTCTTTCGAGCGTTTTACGTATATTAAGGACATTATACTATATATCCCAGAAACACGGAAATTCATCACCAAATATCGCGTATAGAGCCTAATCGGCCTCGATATGCATGAAGTATAAAATCGGCCTCGCTTAGCAGTGGGACTTTTTCTTAATTTTGAAAGATTATAAAGTATTTCTATGAATTAATTTTCATAGAAAGAAAACAATATTTAAGTGATTGCTTTTTATAAATTAAGAATTGTATCTTATATATATATCACAGAAATAGCGGAATTCGTTGCACTATACCATATGAAGTATACAATCGGCCTCGCTTAGCAGTGGGACCTTGTCTTAATTTTGAAAGATTATGAAGTATTTCTATGAATTAATTTCCATAGAAAAATTATATTTAAGTGATTGTATTATATAAATTAAGAATAATATCATGTATATCACAGAAATAGCGGAATTCATCGCATTATACAACATGAAGTATACAATCGGCCTCGCTTATCAGTGGGACTTTTTCTTAAGTTTTGAAAGATTATAAAGTATTTCTATGAACTAAATTTCATAGAAAAATTATATTTAAGTGATTGTATTATATAAATTAAGAATAATATCACAGAAATAGCGGAATTCATCGCGCTATTCCACATGAAGTAGACAACCGGCCTCGCTTAGCAGTCAGCCCTTTTCTTATACGATTAAAAGATTTGCGGATATTTTTTCAATTGATTTCCATAAAATAATGATATTTCTTTCTAATGTGTTACGTATATTAAGCACACTATCTTATATATCCCAGGAACACGGAAATACATCATCCAATACCGCGTATAGAGCCTAATCGGCCTCGCTGGGACTTTTTCTTAATTTTGAAAGGTTATAAAATATTTCTATGTATTATATAAATTAAACATGCATTATGCAAGAGCTAAATTTGCATATTCTATGTCTTTCTTTAGACCTAAAATGTTATATAAACTATTAATTAGACATTGATTAACGTATCCAGACTATAATCAACGCTAGCCTGCGATATTTGTTGGATTATTATCCGATTTGCTGCATAACTTTCCTTCTCGATTTAACGAGTAAGTGGATAATCGAAACTATGATTTTTGTCGAACAGACTTTAGTAATAATCCTTATAAGACAAATAGAAGTAGATTTCACAAATTAAAAACACTTATATGGATATACTACTTCTGAATTTATTAACATGCTACGTTTCGATACACATACAGATATCGTTATCAAGCAAATAATGATTTATAACAAAAATGTGGTGCAATATATAGTTAACAAT